GATCAAAAATTCTAGGTCATCTTTGGTTACATAGAAGGTTTGAGATCAGCCTGAGTTAATGAAATTCTGTCTTAGGAGGGGGAGCGGGAGGGGGGTTGGGGGGTGAAGGCAGGGAAGGATGCAGGATTGGTGTGTCTATAAGCCAAGGAAGGGGATTGCTGGCAATCACACAGGCTGACAATCACACGGAGCTGACTTTCCTGTGGAGCTTGTACAGGGAACCAACACCAACAACACGTTAATTTGGGGCTTCTGGTCTCCAAAGCTGACAGAATAAATTTCTATATTTTTTAAATATCTTATTTCATTATTTTTATTTTACGTGTATGAACGTATTGCCTGCACATATGAGTGCACTTATGTGGTGCAATGCCGTGGACGGTTCATGTAAGTGCTGGGAATCGAACCCAGGTCCTCTGCAAGAGCAGTCAGTACTCTTAACTATTAAGCCATCTTTCCAGGCCCTAAATTTCTATTGTTTTAAGCCACTCTATTTGTGGTTCTTTGTTAAGGCAGCCAGGGAAGCCAGCTCACAAGTATCACATTCATAGTCACCTCAGGGCCTTTGCACAGATTCCCCTTCCTCTGCTATGCCCTTCCCCCAGAAGTTTTTCATTGCTTGCTCTGTCTTGCTATGAATGAATGTGAGTTGCTGTGTTCCTAACGCTGAGGACCTGGCAGTTCACCACCTGGCTCCCTCTGACTCACAGCATCTGACTGGGGAATCTCTGCTCGACTCTGAGCTCGTCTTTGCTATCTTTTTCTGTAAAAAGGTGGCTCCTGCTTTTCACTTTCCACCTCCGGAACTGAAGCTGATACAGACAGGCAAACTGCAAATACTCAAACTGAAGACCTCTGTCTCCGCATTTCTTGCCGTCCACCTGGGGCTGGGAATCTAGCATCTAAATTCTCATCTGTTCCAAAGTAGGGAGGTGGAAGCAAGCCCCGACTTGCCAAAGAATCGAAGAGTCACTGAAAATGGAAATGAAAGCGCAACCGAAACTTGGACCATCACAGACTCAAACCAGTGCATCTCCTTTCCATCTCCGAACTAGGAACTGAAACCATTCCATAGGAAACTCTCTCTTCCCCTTCTGGGGGAAGAGAAATCCCACTCTGGTCTGATTCTGTTTTTATTATACAACTATTAATAGCGACACTCATCAAACTGTAAATAAAGTGTGAAGCTCTCTTGCAATCCCGTCTGAACTGCCTTTCCAAATGAAACTGCTTTATTTATTCGCAGCCTTTTCCTATCCCAAACCCGTCTGCAATTTTCACTTACCCGTGTCATGATAGGACTCAGCGCCCTTCCTCACTTTGCTGTGCACAGTATTTTTCTGCCAGGATATAGTCAATAGCCCATGTAGGTCTCTGATTAAGTAAGAGGTCCATTTCTGTGAACCATAACCCAGACATATGCAACACTAGACTGTGTCTCCTATCAAAATTTATTGCAATGGTAGGTACATTGTAAGTACAGAAACACAAGCAAATCAAACAGGAGGAATCTTTCCCTTTAACCATTGGGCAGCAACAATTCAAATCTCTTTTAATAATAAAAGCAAACAGGTGGGAAGCATCTCTCTTCCCCAAGCATTGTAACTGCTCAGCCCTTTGGAAGGAACGGATTTCTTGCTGATCTTAACAGCAGAGGTGTTCCTTTCCCTCCACAGCACTGTTAGCTCAGTCTCTCCTGAGCTTAGTCCCCGTCTTACCAGCATAGGCCACTCAGAAAACCAAAGCTTCCGTATTTACTCTCCATGTCCATTTCTGCTAAATCTTGACTGAAAGGTGAATTGATCCCACAGAACCCAGGTGACCTAGTGGCCTGTTTAATGACATCTGGGATAACTTCTGTCCAATTGCATGGCTGTCCTTATCTCCGCTGAAGCCCACAGATAGGCTAGGTTGCTCCCCAGAAGCAGAAGGCCTATCCAGTTCCTGGGCATGCTGAAGAAGGAAGCCAACAAGTCACAGGTACAGATGGGTGGGTCTTTGCCCATCTTCAGCCCTGCAAGCTTTGGAGACTGAGAAGTTTCAGACATTTAGAAGCTCCTACTCTCCATTCCTCTGAGATTTCTGTAGTCGCACCTTGCAACCAAGCCACCCACTCCACCATGCTGTTTCTCCAAATATCTAGAAGTTCCAAGAAAACTTAGGCCAAGTCTGATGATGTTACTCTGTGCAGTGGCCAAATTGTTTCTCCAGAGATCTCAGGAAGGTGGCCGCTTCCTGCCATGGCTACTTAACGAGAAGTTGAAGCCAGGTAAGAGGGGCTGCCCGGCTCACTGGGGTCGGCCATTAATGCATCTGGGACACTTCTGGCTGTGCTGGGGTCCCCTGTGAGTTCCACGCTTGTGCTCCGGTTATGATCTAATTCCTCTGACGTCTTCTTACGCAAGCAGTGGTTGATATATGTGGAGAAGAAGTTGGGGAAGGATGGACTGGAGAAATAGTAAACTACAGGGTCCAGCATGCTGTTCATGTAGGTGAAGCTGAGGGTGATGAAGAAGGCCAGGTCAACTGAGCGGTAGATTTCACAGTATTCTGTCCCCGATTTGTACATGAGCCAGAAGATGCGGATCCGCACAGCCACGCTGGGCAGGAAGCAGATGATGAAGACAACGGCCACCACCATGATGAAGTTGATGGCCCTCTTGATCTTGGCATGCCTGTCCATCTGCCTCTGCCGCAGGCTCCAGATGATTCTGGCTGAGCAGAACAGGATGATGCCCAGGGGCAAGAAGAACTCCAAGAGAAACATGGCGTCGTGCCACCTGAAGGTGTGGCAGATGCTGAAGCTGCTGCACAGATTGGCTTTTCCATTGCGGGTCATCATATTTGTATATAGGAGATGGACTGTCAGGCTGATGGTGATGCCCCACAAGAGGCAAGAGATGATGGCTGCTGTGCGGTTGGAGATCTTATTCAGGGAGTGGTGGGGATGTACCACCCGGAAGTACCTGTCCACAGCCACCACTGTAAGGAAGATGATGCTGCCTTGGCGGTTCATGGCCAGCATGAAGAGCATCAGGCGGCAGGGGATGTCTCCAAACCTCCAGTCCCACTTTTTGACATAGTTGTCGGTCAGGAATGGCAAGCAGATGATCAGGAGAAAGTCAGCCACTGCCAAGTTGAACAGGAAAATCCGGCTAGATTTCCAGGACTTGAGGTGGAAACAGAAAATCCACAGGGCAAGGCCATTGCCCAGGAGCCCGAACACAAACTCCAGCCCCAACACCGGCGGCAAGACTTTGGCAATGAAGTCATCTCGGAACACACAGCAATTCTTATTGTTTATCACCAGAGAATAGTTCTGCTTGTTCATTAGTGGATCCGGTCAGTCGGCCCCAGGGCTCCTCACCTAGCAAAGGCTCAAGCAAGAAGTGTGTGTCTGTGTGGTGAACGTGTGGTTCAGCGCTCAGCTTTATGTCATGTCAGGGTGTTGAAACAGATGACTGAATGGTTACCAGGAAACTACGAAATCGTTCAAAAAAAAAAAAAAAAAAAAAAGCTAGTGAGGCTCTTACGCAACCTGCTGTTTGCATAAACAAGTAATAAAAAAAAATCCCCTAGGCAGACAGGAACCCACAAAAATTTCTAAATGTAAAGGATAAGTTTAGGCAAGCAGACTATCTTTTGTGAATGAGTAAAATACTGGGCATTCCTTCTAAAGGCTGCATTGTGCACACTGATTAATTACTTAGCAGTGGAGAATTAATTCACTGTCATTTACTAGGCTTACATAATTAACAAATTAACGATAGCAGTATAATGTACTGTGTTAAACAAACAGCAAAACTTCCCCAAAACATTAAAAATTGATATAAAATTTTAGCATGCATTGGTAACATGTGTAGGTTTTCTTTTCTTTCCCTTTCTTTTCTTTAAGATTTATTTTTGTTTTCAATTTTATGTAAATGTGTGTGTTTATCTGTGTGTTTGTGCATATGAGTGCATGTGCCCCATCCTCCCCAGGGTTTTGGCTCTCCTGTAGCTGGAGTTACAGGCAGTTGTGAGCTGCCCAGTGTGAATTCTATGAACCAAACTCAGGTCCTCTGCCAGAGCACTGCAGGCTGTTAACTAATGAGCCATCTTTCCAGTCCCATTTTATTTTATTTTTATTTTTTCTGTTCTTTTTTTTAAACTTTTTAAAAAATATTTCATTATTTTTAGTGTATGAGTGTATTGCTTTCATATTGGTAAGTGCACCCGTGTTGGGAAATGGCCATGGAGGACAGAAGAGGCCATTGGATCCCTTGGAACTGGAGTTATGGACAGTTGTTAGCTGCCACGTGGGTGTTGGGATTCGAACCCAGATCTTCTGCAAGAACAACCAGTGTTCTTAACCGCTGAGCCATCTCTCCAGCCCCATTTTTTTCTGTTCTTAAAGACAGGATCTCACTCTACAGCCCAAGCTGGCATCAAATTCTTTCTGCTTGTTTCCCAAGTACTGGGATTGTAGGGATACACCACATGCCTCAGCTATGTGATATTTTTAAAACCCCCATTTTGTAAAATTAGATCTAGATCTCAGGACCTAAAAGTGGGCTGAGCTCTGCCTTTCAGGAAAATAGCATTTCCCGTTTTTAAAAAGTATAATTAGATTGTCACCCTCTAGAGCGCTTACCACTGACTATTTTGATCTTTGCTTTCCAAGAGCTTTCTAAATTGTGTTGTTCTACTTTGAATTAAAATTGGAAAGTTATAGCCAGGTGTGGCTGTATTCGCCTTTAGTCCCAGCACGTGGGAGGCAAAGGCAGGTGGATCTCTGAGTTTGAGGCCAGCCTGGTCTATACAGAGAGTGTAAGGCCAGCTGGAGTTCAGGGAAACCCTGTCTCAAAAAGACCAAAAAAAAAAAAAAAAAGAAAAGAAAGAAAGAAATTGGAAATTTATTCCTTTAGTTGCACTCCAAAATCCACCAATGGAAATTAATAGACCCTTCACCGTAAACTACATTGAGCATGCCTGATCTTAGCCTCCCATAGGATTAGAGTTTCTTTGTGAAGTTGCTGCTGCTGAAGATGAAAATAAAGATAGCCAATGGTGCGTGATTGCAGCATTCCTAGTGTGCTGGACTCCAGGCCCCACACTGTCAAGATTGATGTATTTTTATTTTATGTATATGAATGTTTTGCTTGCATGTATGTATGCCTGGTACCCATCAAGGACAGAAGAGGGCATTAGATTCCCCTGGAAATGGAGTTATCGGTAGTTGTGAGCTGCTATGTGGGTGCTGGGAACTGAACCCAGGTCCCCTGTAAAAGCAGCAAGTGTTCTTAATGGGTGAGCCATCTCTCCAACCCCTCCGTGCTTTAAACACATCATCTTGTTTCACCCTCTATAACACATCAACTAAGAACTATTGTTGATTATGACTTCAAAATGAGGACAGTGAAGCTCAGAGAGGCTGGTAATATACCCATGACCACTCAGAAGAACTGGGATTTGAATCTGGCACCGACTTCCAAACCTGTGCCTCTCACCATTATTGTATACTGCCCTTTTATTTTATTTGAAATGTATTTTCTTAGTCTTCATATTTCCATACTCCAATAAACTCTTTTTAAAAATTTATTGTTATTTTAAAAATAGTATGTATATTCAGAAGGTGGAGGCAGGCAATTATCTATGATTTCAAGGCCAGGCTGGTCTACATAGTAGTTCTAGGTTGGCCAGGGTTACAAAGTGAGACCCTATCTTAAGGAAAAATTATGTGTATGTGCCTTTGTGTATGTATGTATGTATGTATGTATGTATGTGTGTATGTGTGTGTGTCTGTGTCTGTGTCTCTCTGTGTCTGTGTCTGTGTGTGTTGGTTTGTGTATGTGCTTTCAGAAGGCAGAGGTGCTGTATCCCCCAAGAGCTGGAGTTACAGGTGGTTATAAGGCACCCAAAATGGTTGCTGGGACTTGAACTCAGGTCCTCTGGAAGAGCAGTATGTGCCCTTAACTACTGAGCATCTCTCCAGTCCTTTATTTTTATTTATTAAAAAATTCTGGCTGGGGGCTGGAGAGATGGCTGAGTGGATAAGAATACTGACTGTTCCTGCAGAAGAATTGGGTTTGAATCCCAGCACCCACATAGCAGCTAACAACTGTCTGTAATTCCAGTTCCAGGGAATCCGACAGTCTTTTCTGTCCTCCGCAGGCATTGCATGACATGGGTGCACTTCCCTACATGCAGGCAATACACACATACACATTAAAAAATAATAAATAAATAAATAAAACATTAAAAAAAATTCCGACTGGGTGTGGTGGCACATGCCTTTAATCCCAGCACTTGGGTGGCAGAGGCAGGTGAATCTCTATGAGTTTAAGTCCAGCCTGGTCTACATAGCGAGTTCCAGGGGCTACAGGGAGACCCTGTCTCAAAAAGACCAAAAAAAATTCTAATTACATTCATGTATCTAGGAAGGGAGGTGGTATGTGTCATGTGTTCTTGGAAGTCTAGGGACAACCTGCAACAACTAGTTCTCTCCTTCTACTGTGTGGAACCCAGGAATTGAACTCAGGTCATCAGGTTTGGCAGCAAGCATCTTTACTCACTGAGTCATCTCCCCAGCCCATACTTTATTTTTGAGATGGTGTCTCACCATGTAGCCAAGGCTGGCCTCAAATTCATGATCTTCCTGCCTCCCCCTCCCACATGCTAGGATTACAGGCATGTACCACCATGCCCGCCTCTTTTGCTATTGCCTTTCATGTTGGGTTCCGTTGGCATTTGCTTGCCTTGTTTCTGTGAATGCCGGCAGTGCTTCCTTCTTGATAGATGTGGACCTATCAATGGCGTATTTGTGGCTTGAATGTGAAGGGCCCCCACAGGTTCACATGTTTGAACACTTGGTTCCCAGCTGCTCATGCTGTTTTGAAGTTGGAGAACTTTGGGGCTCTGAGGCCTAGCAGGTGGAGATTGATCATTAGAGGCAGGGCCTTCAAGGTTATGTTCACTTTTGTTTGAAACATCCCTCCTGCTGGTACAGTCACCTCGTGAAGAGACTCACCACACATTCCTGCCGCTGTGGACCAAGCTGCTCCTACCGCCACGCCTCCCTGTGTCTTGATGGACTGTGCCTTCTGAAACCTAAGCCAAAGTAGATCTCTCCATTTTAAGTTGTTTCTGTCAGATATTTGGTAGGTCACAGCAACACAGGAGTAACTAACACAACATCCATGAAATGATCCTGAGGCCTTGGTTAACTAAGAGTCAGAAAAACTATTAGCATTAGTTTTTTGTAGGAACTAGAATCTGCAAGGGACTCTCCTTCCTAAGTTATGAATTTTATAAATGTGTGTATGTGTGTGTGTATGTTAATGTGTATGTGTGGGCACATTTGCCTATGAGTGTGCATATGGAGGTTGGAGGTTGACCTTGGGTAGTCAGCTTCCTTAATTGCTGTCCACTTTATTTTTTTTCTAAGATTTATTTATTTTTATTTTATTTGTATGTGCAAGTGCCTGGTGCCCTCAGAGGCCAGAAGAGCATGTTAGATGCCCTGGAAGTGGAGCTGAATCCCCTGGACCTGGAGTTACAGGCAGTTGTGAGCTGCTGTGTGGGTGCTGGGCACTGAACCCAGGTCCTCTGCAAGAGCAGCAAACACTCTTAACCACTGAGCCATCTCTATAGCTCCACCACTTTATTTTTTGAGGCAAGGTCTCTTATAGAACTTGGAGACTGTCTGGTTAGCAAGTCCCCAGGATACACCTATCTTGACCCCCAGTCCTAGCACTGGGGTTACAGACATATATTGGCATGTCCTGCTTTTTACATAAGTGCTAGGGATCTGAGCTCAGATCTTCATGTTTGCACAGCAAGCACTTTACCCACTGAACCATCTCTCTAGCCCCTTTATAAATTTTTATTTTTTATATTTATTTGTATATTTTTTTATTTTTTTATTTGTGACCACCACAGAGCACATGTAGAGGTCAAGTGACAACTTTTGGGAGTTCTCTTCTTCCAGAATGTGGGTTCCAGGTATCAAACTTAGGTCATCAGGCTTGGTAGCAAGCACTCTTACCTGCTGAGCAATCTCACTAGATTCCCCCCGCCCTTTTTTTTTGGTCTTTTTGAGACAGGGTCTCCATGTAGCCCCAGCTGTCCTGGAACTCACTATGTAGACCAGGCTGGCCTTGAACTCACTGAGATCCACCAGTCTCTGCCTCCCAAGTGCTGGGACTAAAGGCGTGTGCCACCACGCCTGACTCTAGACCCCCTTTTTACAAAATTTTAAACAACAAAGCTGGGCATCCAGTAATCCCAGTACTTGGGATGTAAAGGCAGAAAGATCAGGAGTTCAAAGCCATCCTCAGCTACAGAGAGAGTTTGAAATTAGCCTGGGCTACATGAGACCCTGTCTCAAAACAAAGGAAAACA